GTGTGTGTGTGTGTGTGAGAGAGAGTGTGTTAAGTCTGAAAGTGAGGCATCCGTTACATTTATGTGACAAGAACAGGAATTATTAAACAAGTACAGTGTCTTAAAGAGGTCCTTTTAAAGCCTGCGGATGCTCATGTGCCCGCTGAGGTGTGTCAGCCTATACACTGCAACCTAACGCCTGGACTTGGCTGACTGCACTTTGTGACAGATTGGGTTTGAACAGATACACACTGTCACTGGATCATGTTAGGGCTGCACAGTTTATCGTATCGAATCTCAATATGGCCGACTCGCAGTATCTGTTAAAGGCAAAATGTGTGTCAAAATACCATTTTATTATTAAATAATGTTCGACAGACTTGAGGACATATCTTTGTTTGGTACTGATCCAAGCAAAAATCTCACTATAACTCACATCATTTTAATTTTTTTAATATTTTCATTATTCTCATTTTCATGGAAAAACATTAACATTCCCTCCAATGTCACAAACCATATTGCAATATCAGTCAAAATAACTGCAGATCCGTATTTTTTCGAAATTGTTCATCGCCAAATCATCTACATGTGTTATATCCTTGGAGTTAATCTTACGTCTGTGTATCCTCTGTGTAGCGTTTCAGGGCTAAAAAGCTGTAAAGTTCCACTCATGACAGGAAGTCCTCTATTGTATTCTATTCTATGTCTCACTCAGGTCTGTGAGGGTCACAAAGCCTGAAACCACAGGACTATAACTAAGCCCCGCAGTGTTATTCAAATGTAAATTTCAGGGCTGCACCTTAAAGGATGAACTTGACAAAAAAAAAATCAAAAGTTTAACATTCAGAAGAGCTTTTTTTAAGAAAAGAAGCACATTTTCAGATCAATAATAAGATACTAAATGAAGACAAAGAAAAAAGAGAACATTCAGATTTTACATTTGGAAGACAAGGATCTAGATTCAAGTTCTTCGGCCTCTGGCTTTGAGAGATCTCAAACATTAGTTTTCATTGCCGTATTTATGCCTACTTTATTTTCTCTTGACCATAAAAATAACATTTCAACCTACAGATGGCAAGTTGCATGAATGCATGCGGTGATAGAATCAGTAGTTTTATCAAGTGAAGCTTGTTTTCTGCTGTCCTCATGCACTCCGTTGTGCCCCAAATAGTCACAATATTTCCCTCCACCGACTGGCGCTTCCTGAACATACTGTTTATTTCCTGATGACAAATGCAGTGCTGTGCAAAGAGAGCGTTTTTTGGAAATGTACAATCCCTGTGCTTCCTGTCCCAGCTGATGGCAACCAACCTGAAAAGGTGTGAAGAGTTTCCCCCGGCGGCGCATTTCAACATATCAATTCAAAAGTGCAAAACAAAGAGATGTTACTCAGGTGAAACGGGGGAAAAAAAAAAAATCCCCAAATGGTTTTTTCCTTCAAGTCTCACTTAAAGATGCATCACAGTGTTTCCCCTCCGACTGTGTGTTAGTGTCATTGGATAAATGTTTTTATGTTGTGATAAATGTAGCACCGTACTCATGGAAAGCCTGAAGGCTGCATTAGGACAGTATTTGACAATGTCTCATAAGGGCACCGGTCCATATTTAAATGACGAGTTCAAAGAGCTCATTTGGCTTCTAGCTCGTCAAGAACAGAGGAGTGGGATGATCAAGAGCAACACACGAAACCAAGAAAGACACATTAACATTGACATATATATTCCCCCTACATTTGCAAACATGACATCGAAATGACACTCTGTTAAGTTTCATGTTTAGTTGTCTTTCCCCTCTCTTTCTGAGGTCAGTTGACCTCCGTATATTTTAATATTCTATTTCAAACTTCGGTGAAGAAACATCTTAAATTCTGGTTGAAGCGCTGCTTGAAACCGTCTTCTCTTTCATTTTGTACCCAGCTCTTATATGTGAAAACATCGTCCTGACTGGAGATGTTCTGTAGAGAAAGTTGTCACGTTTAACTTTACATTTCAACGATACCAACAAGATAAAAGCAGCTGACAGTTTCAGCACTAATGACTAATAGACTGTATACACAAGGAGTGGATGTAGTCGTCGTGCCGTCACCCACTGGTTTATAGACCGCGGTTATGAAGCCTCGAGTTCGGCATTTTGACCATCGCCATCTTGCTTTTTTGCATTCAGTGAACGTAAGTGACCATATTTGGACTGCAGAGGAGTGATGGCGTGGTAGAGATGATAACGTGATGATGTGTGGTTATTGAGATTTAGAGTTGCTGGTAGGTTTTTTTTTGTTTTTTTTACCTTTGGACAGAACAAGGCCAGCTGTTTCCCTCTGTGTCCATTCTTTATGCTAAGCTATTTAATTTAATTGTAATAGCTTCTTTTAAACAAAAAAAAAATAGGTAATGAATGCAAACCCTGGTGTCACCTCTTGATCCCACTACCTCAGTTTGACCATATCCTCTTTCACGGTCTCCCTTGCAGTATTATAATTAATCCCCAACTCATGGAACAATGAGTTAGCACGGTTGTTAACCTCCGTGATGGAGGAGGCTGCCCTCCCTGCAGCTTCACATAGAGATTAGTGAGCCCACTGCCCTCTGTGGTAGAGGAAACACCCAAATCCTTATGAATTTCAGATATTGGCCACATTGGGACTTACCTCTGTTGAAACTAGGCAAGTATTGTGTCCTTGTTTGGTTTAAGTTGTACCTTTTTTAGCCACATTTTTCCACCGCTCCATAATCGTTTTTGTTTATAATCTGTCTTTGGTTTCAGTTATAGGGTTAGGTTCAGTCTGCACTGTCCAGTCGTTGTCCTGCTCATGTAGAAACTGCCTTGAAACTGAATGGAGATGAGGATTCAATGTGGGTTTCCATCGGCGGACATGATATGAAGGGACCGTTGTGAGACATATTGCTGTTGTTCAAAAAAGGAGTTTCAGGGATCCTTGAATAAGCTACATAATGGGTCTCCTCTCATTGGTCCATGACGTACAAGCTTCAAAGACTTCACAGACTCATTCCTGACTCTGTTGGTGACATTTACATATGAAGTTATACAATCCCAGTGAGGTGACTCAGAGAGAGAAAGGAACTAAAGGGAGCCGGGAGCAAGTGAAAGACAACAGATTTCCTCTGCACTGTTTTTATCGTCTTTTTGTTCCGGTCTGCCGACCTTTTTCAAGACCAAAAAAAAAACAAAAAACGAAATCCCAAGATGGCACTTGTTGCCTTGAGGAAAGTCAGTTGAGCGAAATGTCAACAAATAAGGAGGCAGGGGTGCAGATGGATTCAATCCTCCTGGGCTTCGTTTTCATACCTCACATGTGAGAAAAAGCACTTGACGTGTGTTGTATCGACATTGATCTCTGATGAGTACTGTGCAGCCGGTCATCCGGAGCAAAACAGAAGTGCCGCGCTGCACCATCACTGCCACATGGCTCAACACCTGTTGGACACCGAGGGCAGAAAATGGGGCAAGGCTCCTCTGTCTGTCCGTGTGACTGATTATCCGTCCGACTGCCTCGCTACATGTCATGAATTCACCCCTGATGCATTAAACGCCTGTTTAGTCACCGAAGAGGCAACATGGCCAGGAAATAAATCCTGACCTGCACAAGCATTACGGTGCGACTGGTGTGCGACGTCCACGTAAGCAGAAATCCATCTCATCAAGTTGTACACACACACACACACACACACACAGACACAGAGTCTTGGCAGTCTCAACTTTGCTGCCCACAGACAAAAGAGAGCTACAGCGGAGAGGCAGTAAACTTTCTGGACAGGCAGTGGGTCAGTAACTAAACATATATTTCAACTATCTGCACTTTGCCTCAAGAAGCAACATAGAAACTCACCCAACCAGTCGAGCACAGATCCTAGTTAATGCTGCATTTTACCTCAATGGATTGAGATGTTATTTGACAGTTTAAGAGTTGCGCTTAGTATAATTAGATTTTATTAATTTCAGTCAGAAGCTTTCTGATCACAGAATAAGTAAAGCGAGCTGTGAATCAGACTATTAATGCCAGCTTTTGGCTGTTGACGGTATCAAATACTTGGTGCTACAAACTTCTGTTGGTACCAAAAGAGATTAGAAGTTTGACACCAAATTCCATTCAACAGTATTTTGCCGAACTATCGGATATGTGGGAACAAAATGACCAGAAGTAGAATAAATCATTAAAAGGCAAAATATTTTGCAAATATCTTACATTTGCCACATTTTAGGGATTCTCCCAGGTGAGATCTGTGATACTGAGTACCACGGTAAAAGCATTCATTATCCTCTTCCAAGAACCAGAATCTGTATTTTAACACCCCCCCCCCCCCTCTTTCTTACTCTGTGACTCTGTTGGTTTTTATGAGAAAGTCTGGTGTCGGTCAGTGTTTTTATCGTCTACTTCAACCTCATCTTCTTATTTTCCCTCATTGATTTGAAAAGCCATAAAGCTACAATAAGCACTGCCTGTGGGAAAGCTCTAAGTGCCCCCCCCGTTTCTCTCCCCTGCTCATGTGTTCACTGGATTGTGTACTCCCTCTTGCCGTCTCTTTCCACCATAAAATGCTTTTTAAACCACTTGACTGGAAAATTGACTGTGTATGTCAATTCGGCTAAAAAGCCCCATTCAGAGCTTCTTGTTTGTCTTCTCTGTTGATGTGTTCACATTCGGTTCCGTTTCTGTCAAATGTGTACTTCTTTTTCTACCGAGAGTGAACTCCGGGATTGTTTTTAGCTGCTCTTCAACCGGGCTCATCGAATGAGAACAAATACACTGAATACTCATGAAATGCCAGATGGAGAGCAACGATGTCGGGTTGGATTCTTAACAGCGAAGTCGCTGTGTTCAGTGAATATGCACAGATATGATTAATGGCACTTCACCTGCATTGGTTTAAGTCAGCCGTCAAAACATTAACAGCACACAGCCATCTTTTGACTTAAACATTTGATAAATTAGTGTAATTAAATTGTGTTTAATGTCATTTAAATGCTTCCTCCTAATTTATTCTTTGTCTTTTATTTTCCTTTAGGTGCCTGAGACTTTCATGGCCCAAGACGTCCAGAAAAGAGGACAAAGTGAGTCTGACTGACCTGATGCCACAAGAAGAGGACGTCTGGACTGAAGGATCGATCGATGAGCGATTGGAAGTTTTAAGCATTAGTCGTTGGACTAATTGGACAGGTTTTTAACATCTGGACACCACATGGCTGCAGCAGCTTCTTGACACTGGGATAGTGACAAACCCAACATGTGATCGCATGTCCATATCAGTGAAGATTGATCTGATATCGGGGCCTTATGTCTTAGATTAGAACTTATTGGCTATATCTACAGTTCAGACAGTTTGTGTTTGAGTTACTGGACTATCTCACTCAGGGATTGAGGCCGATTACAACATTTTAGTGCGTTTGTCATGCTGGGAATCTGGGGACGCACCAGAAACAAGCTGGCGACTCAGACTTTAGGTGTAGCCGCCTGCGTGGCCTCCTTATCCTCATGAGTGACCCCACGATCCCTGTAGAAGTCAGATAGTCGGGTATCAGCTCACCACATGTCCTTATCAGAGATCTAATAGCAGCCGTCAGGATGAGCACATGTCTGTAGCCGCGTCGCGCCAGCGTTTTCGAGGCTGGCGGTCATCTTCCTCGGCCATGACCCGGCTGATGTTGGGCCGGACTCTGGAGCGCATCTGTAAAGGCGTGCTGCTGCTCTGCCTGCTCCACTTCCTCATCATGATGATCCTGTACTTCGATGTCTACTCGCAGCGCTTCGACCTCTTCAGCCGCTTCAACAACGGCCGTAACGGATCCAGGACTAACGTCAGCGGGGCAGCAGGGAGCGGGCACCACTACTACTACTACAACCTCTCCAGGCCCAACGCGACGCTAGCCAGCTACCTGGCCACGGGGGAGCAGCTGGTGCCGAGTGTGCAGCCCGAGACCAATCAGACGCCTTCTCCCAAACCGCTGCCGCCGTGCCCCGAGAACCCGCCCGGCCTCGGTGAGTATTGATGTCATCGGGTACTCCTCCAAAAAGTAACGTAGATGAAAGCTACTGTAGAGCTGGAGTCACAACAGTCACACAAACTGTAATGAGTATATATTATGCGCACCTGTCGCAGTTTACCAAACTGTCGTGACTCCGGGTGGTTCCCGATTTTAGGAGTGGATTTTATGCGACGCTAACTAGCCAGCAGTCTGCAGATGTTGGGGGCGTGGTCTTGTCGAAAACAGAAACGGCAGGTGAAGCAGATGTTTGCAGACTTCTCCGCTCCTTTCTGTGGTGAAACTGATCATTAAAGCAGGATTTGCAGATCATTGATTAGTGTCATGAAAAGCAGAGATGAGACCTTGATCGGACTGGAGCGTACTATTTTATATTCAGTAAATAAATGCATCTTCAGTCTAATTCCAATTAGCGGGAGAGCAAGTGTAGCCGTAATTTCGTTTTTCCCGTGTCAGCCGGCAACATAAAATGGATTTAATGTCAACGATTTACACTGTGCTATTTCAACCTTATAGAATCACAGCGGGGCTATTAGCAGAGATTCATGCAGTCACACACACAGCAGTACACGTACACACCCAGAGCGCTACACACATATTTCTTTTGTGCTTTTAATTTTTCTTGAATGAACACACAAGTTGAAATAACTAAGATGCTTGGAGCTGCAGATGTTTGCAGGTGTCCTGTGTAGAAAGTGTCGATGTTTCATCGTGGTCGGCAGTTTTTCTTCCAAAATTATTTATTCTGTGTTTCAGCGTTTGCTTGAAAACATACGTTGAAGTCGGTCCTGGTCACGTTTGAGAGAGTTTTAATATTTATTTTGGGTAAATTAATTGTTGAATTAGTTGCAAATTAAACAAAAAATCTTTAGAATAATCAATGAATTTGTCGTTAGATTATAGCTGCAGCCCTATAGGCGCTGCCTCAGCCGCTGCCACAGTGAGGCCTCGTGGAGGCAATCCCTCAATCATAGACATGTTCCTCTGCACACTGATACACACACCTACACACACGCATGAACACACACACACACACACACACCTCATTATCATCACTATCTGTCAACCCAACAAATCAGAGGTTGATTGAGTCACACTAAGCCTCTAGTTTACTAAATCTATAATTACATAGTGGACACACACACACACACACGCCACAGCTCCCTGTCATGAATACTCACAGATAATAGAGCTCGGGAAAGAGGAAGTAATTCCTGCTGTTTTTGTTCGACTGATCCTGATACCAATGAGGCCGGAAGAAAAGCTGCTACATTGTGTTGTCATCTAATGGAGGAAACATGGTGCAAGTACACAAATGGCATACCTCTCACAGATTTCTACGTTTGCTCTGATGCTTAATGAGTAAAAGCAAATAAATAAACGCTGTTACAGTTTTACAATTGCCATTTTGTGTTTGCAGCTTTCCCCCTTCACTTTCTGCTCAGGTGTGTTGTGTTGTCGTGACTTGTTGGAGGGCTTGGACTGAGTCAGGAGTCGCTGATATCGTTGACCTAAACGCCTACTAAGGCCTTGCAAATGAGCCAGATTTGATTTGACACACATGTTTGATTATATATTGATTTCTTTTCACACTATTCCTTTTTTTTCTTCCTTTCTTCGCATCACTAATTGAGAAGTCGTATCCTGCCTGTTATTGCTGCAGGTAGTTGTTGATGTAACAGATTCATCTTCCTTATGTCAGATAACGCTCAGCCGCATTCTGCTGATGCAATGACAACCTTTCTTATTTTCTTCCACCTGTTCCATCAGTAAATTAGTTTTTTATTAACTCAATCCCTCGTGAGCACCATTGTGGCAGTGTCAACATTTTTCTCTTCTTTCTTTTTTTAAACTTATTGCTTTTCTCATTTGATAATGAGGTTTGTAACGCGCTTTAGAATTGGGAGTGGGAGATACAGCTGTCAGGTATATTTGTCTGAAGCTGAGGGTCGCTGATTCCATTATTTGGTCTGGAATTGGCTGTCACTGACTCTGGATTTGGCATTCACACCAGACACAGGTGTACTCTTGTAGCTTATCTCTGCCTTCTCTCTGTGATGGAGTGGCTGCCTGGGGGGGCTGTAATGAGCAGGAAGGCAGAGAAAAGACTGAGCGGCTCTGTTGTTCAGTCACAGGTGCAGAGAAAGAGAGAAGGAGATCTAATGGAGGGTGGTATGGTGGTTGGTGTATGAAATGAGACGGACAGAGAGGCGGGATGGAGAGAAGGAAGGGACGGCAGGTGGAGAGGTGAGGGGGTGTTGTGGGAAAAAATAGAGGGACCTTGGATGGATACACACACACAGAGAGAGAGAGAGAGAGAGAGAGAGAGAGAGAGAGAGAGAAACAAACAAACAAGCCCTTGGCTGTCCCAGAACACCAGCTGACAGGTGCTCCCTGTATGAGTGGCTAGCATCCACAGTTTATATCCTGGCTGTGTGTGTGTGTGTGTGTGTGTGTGTGTGTGTGTGTGTGTGTGTTAGTGTGACCTGGCATGCGTGATATGCAAATCAGCTGTTTATCAAAAAAAAAAAAAAAGAAGATATTTCATTCCTGTCTCTTAGAAAGTAGTAGTTGGTCAATCAGTCATTCTTCTGAAAATGTATTATTTCAATTTGTTGTTTTTTTAAGCAAAATGCCAAAACTCTATTGGTTCCAGCTCCTTAAATGTGAATATTTGCTCGTATTCTTTATATTCTAAAACAATAAACTGCATTGGACTGCTGGTTGGGCAGAACATGCAATTTAAATATATGAGACTTTACACTAACTGTTTTATTTCATGGACAAAACAATTCATCTGCAAATCATTTGATAATGAAAATAATAATTAGAGCACAGATCCAGTTTTTGTTTCTGCTTAGTTGGGTAGAGATCACTTTGAGAGTGACAGGCATCGCAGGGTGGAGAGAGGATGACATACAGTAAGGACACATACTGGATAAATGGTGCACGTGCTCTACCAGGTGAGCTGCTGTAGATGTATTGTCAGCAGAAAAATGACATTGGCAGTGAACATTTCACTGATTTGTATTGCCGGATACGCTACCATGTTATCCTCATTATGTAGAATTATTTTTTTTTTGGAGGAGGTTGGTAAATTGATTTTGGGGTCTTTGAATTCAAAAATAGAGAAAAATAAGAAAGTATTTCTGTCTTCATATTGATGTATTTTTATCTGATTACTATACTGCCCTCTTTCTTTCCCTTGAGTTTCATCACTGCCCTGTTAAGGAAACACCTGTTTCACCTGAGATTTATGTGACGTGTGACCAGCCTCAAATACAAAGTAGGTGCCGCATTCCAGTCTTCTTTGGATGATGACACAAGCTTTAATGCGTTCGGTTTTGATCTGTGAGTTTTTAATAAGCAATTTTCTCCTTTGTAGCTGGTGTACGTACGCTCAGACGTCCGTGTATGTGTCTTTGTGTGTGAATTATTCTCAAGCCTGAACCCTATTATTTATTATTCCTATTAATCACTTCTACCTACACACATGACATGTGGATGCTTGAGCGCTCACACACACACACATAAGCATGCAGCTCAGTGGGAGGCTAAACACTATTTCCCAGGCCTTGTTTTAATTGGATGCTCTACAGGGGTTTTCTCATTTAGAATTAACTGTCTTCTTACATTGTACAGAATTCCGGATGTTAGACTCGGAGCAGGATGTACCTGAGCCGTCCTCATCAGGCAAGAAAAGAATGTAATGACTGAACGGAAAGAAATACTTTGTCGATTACCTACAAATGGTTATTTTTTTCCACCTGAATTATCTCCATGGCATGCTCTACCGTAGTGCTACTGCAGAAAAATAGTCCATTTGGAGTTCCTTATTCTCGTCCAGGTGGCTACAAGTAAAGCAGAGCAGCCCGAACACCCCTTTATGGTAGAACAGGCGGATGTTGTCATTGCTTCACTGTGACGTGTGTCTGCATTTTCCTGTCCCGGACACACTGTATGAGGAGTACTGCTACCTATTTACATACAGTATGACGGGCTGTTCTAAGCTAACGAAAGCACAACCATGCTTAGCTTGAGGTGATAATACACTAATGAAAACATAGTTATGAATATTATTTCCCATTTCTGCCAATAAATCCCCCTAAATCCTAAACACTCAGGCCCCCCAAGTCCTTTTAAAAATTAGGATTTGTAAGACAAGGCAAATTTATTTGTACAGCACATTTCAAGGCAATTCAAAGTGCTTCACATAAAACCATTAAAAACATCAAAACATAAGGAAAAAGAAAAGGAGATTTAAAAACATGTATGCACACTTTTTATGTATACCCATCATCATAAATCTATAGCTGTCAGGGGCCCTTCTAGTTTGGAATCTAAGGCCCAGGTTGCTTCCCTTGCCGATAAAGTCGGCCGCTGGAGTTTCCCCCCCTGAGCCAGAGTGTATTTCACCTGTGTTTCTGAGAAAAATAAATAAGCCAATAAACAAGGTCGTTCACCTAAGAAACCCATTGCTGTGCACTCCCACACGGTGAGGAAGCCGGCGCAGTCATGGCCGCGGATGCAGAAGGACCCTCGACGACGTAATGTCAGCCATAACTTCATTAAAACGGCCCTGCTTCCCCTCCTCAGCACCATTCACTGCCTTCCACAGAACCATTCTGCTGCGTGCATGTTTCCATCCACGTGTTGCAGCATCATTTCCTTTTTTACTAGCCAACCAATTGGTATGTAATTTCCATCTATTCAGATTTTGGTTATCGAGTCTTTTTTTTTCCCCCTTCTTTTCGAAACATTATCTCCTCAACAACATTCTCCGTTCTCTTCATTTAGAACCTGAATACAAAGAAGCGGCGTCTGTGCTTTCATCCTGTGAAATATGAGCTGGAACTCCTTTTCAAAAGGTGAAACGAGACGTCCTCGACCGCCTCTCTGTCCGGGCCACTGTGTTGTTGCATCAGCTTGTCCCAGCAGCCCGATGACGTGTGTCGCAGAAGGCAGAATTAGATCTTCGCCAACGCCGTGTGGATC